TGGACTCTTCTGCTGCACATCACGAAAAAGTGCCCAGATCAGGGAGATCAGAGGTATAAATATCCAGTCTTTATGATAAATACATTGGATATGGTGAAATCCTTGTGTTTAAAGCTGTCTTTTTAACATAGAAGTCACATTACCCAGACTTACACATCTCAGGGGAAGTCAGATGAAGCTATAAATCCAATTGCACTTTATTGATTTTTAAATCTTATTTCTTGTGGGGATTATGTCATAAAACAAAACAGAAGAAGCACAATTGGGACATCCACTCAAGATGCACTATAATTCTGTTACCTGCTTTTTACCACTCATAAAAAGGCGATATGAATTGTCTTTTTCTGCATTTTGTAATTTTTTTTTAATGCTTGCAATTAGTAGAGATTGAACAATACGGACAATAAAAGACTTTGCCTGCTCCCTTTATTGGGTGAAATGGGAGTGCTCCTCTGGACTTTGCACTAAGACACTGCATCAGTGTTAATATAATGTTTTGTTCCTCTTATTTCATTGAAACGAAAGCATGTGTCCTTGAGGAGATCACACACAAGATTGTAAATCCTAATGGGAAGCGGGGTATTTACTCATAGAAAATAATTCAATATGTGCATTGTGGGTAAATGTCATTTCGTAGGATGGGTAATATGATTACAATACGACTTTATGAATGTCAGTGAAACAGAGGCATAGATGTGTTTATTGTAAAATATAACCCGAGGCTTTGGTGACTAATTATTTCTGAATGGCCAACTTAGAACTGCCAAGGCCATCTCTTGGGCAGATAACAGTAATCAGTTTGGAGCATGATGACTCAGAGGTGCTACTTTTAAAGTACCACTATCACTAGAACATTAAAAATACTGTATCACTATTTATTCAATCTGGTTTGAAAATGTTTTTTACATGTGTGTTGGTAAAAGTTTTTTTACTCCTTAATTTCCATAATATCTGCCTCCCATTCATACACATAATTCATCCTCATTGTGTTTCCCATAAGTGGAAAAACAACATATAATGTAGCTGAATCTGTCACCCTGGATAGAGGTGGGGAGTATGGACAAACAGCCAAGCAGAGTGGAGGAGCAGGAGCTAACAGCCAATCTGTATCAAATCTCAGGTCAAGCTCAACCCATTCCCCAAGATTACTTGGAGATAAATATCTGATATGTTGCTGCATCAGAGATGGATGGATGGGATTGGATGAAGGGAGACAACATCTGCTGACATCACACATTTCCACATTGGTGAATGGCATCACACATAGCCTGCTGGAGTCTCCTTTACAAAGACTCCTAAGCCAAAACGTTGGGTATGCTTCAACCATATTTGTGAAGGCAACACTGGCAGGGTTATTTACTAAAATTAGAATCTGGGGATTTCAAAAGGCATAAAACTCTCTCCCTTGGCTTTGTTCACATAAGGGTGGTGTCAGTTGGGTCCTGGGTGTGCTGATGTGAAAAAGAAAATTTAGCCTTGGCATTTTTTAATCACAGCGGACCAATGAGAATGAGGCGGGTCGAGAGTGTTTTGACATCACCAATGACAAGAACGCCCCCTATCAAAGTGAGCATGTTGGTTCAATGCTCTTCCAGGGCAACCCATGTGCAGAGCTCTGTTGAAGAGCTCTTGCATGAGAATAAAGCCCTGTATTTGTTCAGTGAAGCCCAATCAAATTTAATGACATGCTTGCACTATGTTTTCTTGTGTCTCTGGTGTCTCCATAAGTGGGAAACAAGAGGACAAAAGGACTTGGAAAGAGTATTTGCATGTGTTTTACGGCTGCTTGTGGGATTGCATGTGTGTAGAGTGAGCTAATTGTGGGGGGGGGGGGTTGTGTGTAAATAAGTCTGTTACAGTCATGTTGTGCTTGAGTTGTAAAATGTGTGGCTAGAGGCTATAGAGAGTGAGAGAGTGTGCGTATAGAGGGCATTGTGTGTTTAAGGAATGTAGAGTGTGTGCGCATGGGGTATGTATGTAGGGGCTGTAGAGAGTGTGTGTTTAGGGAATGTAGTGTATGTTTGAGTACAGAGGATCTAGTGTGTGCGTAGTGGATCCAGGGTGTGTATGTCTGGCATGTAGTCTGTGTGTAGATGAGCCAGAATGTCTAGGGGATCTAGTGTGTGTTTTTGTAGAGGATCTAGTGTGTGGGGGGGATCCAGAGTGTGTATAACGGATGTAATGTGCGTGTGTCTGAAATGTAGTGTATGTAACTATTGCAGTATGTGTTTCAGGGATGTAGTGTGTAAGTGGTAGAGAGTGTGTTCAGGGCATCTAGTGTGTAGTGGTGCAGTGTGTGTGTGAGGGGTGCAGTATGTATGTGTGAGGGGTGCAGTGTGTGTGTGTGAGGGGTGCAGTGTATAAGAGAGGTGCAGTGTGTTTGTGTGTGTGTGTTGGGAGGTACTGTGTGTGGTGGGGCGCAGGTGTGAGCTAAGCAATCCCACGTTATGGAATATATGGAGAAATAAGAGATGCACTCTCAGGTCTTTACAAAAAATCTGTTAGTATTTATTCAGTAAAAATGTTACATCATCTGACCGATGTTTCGACCCTACAGGGTCTTCCTCAAGAAGAGGAAGACCCTGTAGGGTCGAAACGTCGGTCAGATGATGTGCTGGGTGTTCGTGAGCAAAGATGGCCACTGCCACATGTTCGTTCATACGAACAGCGACCACCCATTAAACCATTAGGGTTTGCGGTTTAATCGATGTTGCCAAGTGTTAATTGGAGACATACGACTCCCCTGTGTGGTACTCCATTCAGGATTTTATTTTTTTTATGAACAGTGCATCTTTATTCTGTTCTTGTAGTTCCCATACAAATGCACATGGTTCTTACAATTGAAAATAGCCGAATAAACCCAGTTCTTGTATACTGAAGTGGCTAGTTTTGCCACAAGAGCTATGGCAGGTGAGGTGTGAGATAGGTAAAAGGAGTATTTGCAGGTTAGTGGAGAAGTGCTCTAGGTCAAGACATTTGAGTTTTCTGTGATATTGATGTGCTGAGGGTGGTGTCAGTTGGGTCCTGGGTGTGCTGATGTGAAAAGTCAGCAGATGGTGGTCAGATAGAGTAAAATAAATATTGGAGAGACTAGAGGCTGTACAGAGGTTGGTGAAGGCCAGATCAAGAGTGTTTCCCAGTGTATGGGTTGCTAAATTAGACCATTGAGTGAGGCTAAAGGAGGAGGTTACAGAGAGCAGACGAGAGGCATCAGTGCACTTGGGGTTGTTGATTGGGATATTGAAATCCCCAAGTATAAGGGAAAGAGTGCTAGAGGAGAGGAAGTGAGGTAGCCAGGAAGAAAAGTGTTCAATAAATAGCCTAGGATGACCGGGGAGGGGGGTGGGGAGAGCAGTAGATGATAGCAATTCTTAAAGGTTTAAATAGATGGATAGAGTGCACTTCAAAGGAAGTAAAGGATAGGGCAGGGGCAGGGGAGATTTGTTGAAAGATACATTAAAGGGAAAAAAAGATGCCTACACCACCTCCTTTACAGTTGTTAAGTCTGTGAGTGTGGAAGAATTGTAGCCCACAAAAACATAAAGAAGCAGGAGTAGTACAATCAGAAAGGGAAAGCCAGGTCTCTGTGAGTGTTAGTAGTGTGAGTGAGTTTGAGATGAAAAGGTTGTGTATGGCTGTTAAGTTCAGATTGCTGCAGACAGAGCAGGCATTCCAGAGTGCACACTGAATGTTGACAAATGAAGGTAATGTACAGGGGTATCGTGGTGAGGTTTGTGGGGTTTCTGGTTGTCTTAGTGTTTGCAGAGGAGGTGAAGGGTCCTGGGTTGGGATAGACATCACCAGCTGCTAGAAGCAGGACGAAAGATAATGACAGGAGGTATAAGTGTGCTTTATGTGCATGGGGTCTAGGATGAGATCGATTGTGGGTAGGAGAGAGGAAGCAGAAAAATGAGTGCAGGGCATGAGTTGAGAGAAGGTGGGGGTGTAGCAGAGAGGGGAAAATGTAAAGGCTTTTGGGTTGATGAGGAAAGTGGTTGTAAGGAGAGATTTTGATACTGAGGGAGAATGAAGAAATGAAGAGGAGAAGACAGAGCATTGCTAAACTGGGAAAAACTCAATTTGGAGAAACAAAAAATAAATAAATTGAAGTATCAAAACCAGGAGTAGGAAGGGTAAAGATTATGTTTTAGGAGTTAAGAAAGTGCAGGAGTGTACTGATAAGAGGCAGTGTGTACACCTGCTGTTTCTGCATATCTAAAATTTGGGTGTGACAGACTATTTATAAATGTAATAAAGAGCTTGGGGCTGCAGCAGTAATGGGGCTGGAAAGTTTTGAAATCAGGCTGTGGAAGAAAGATATGTGAGGGTCAGATAGGCTTTCAATAAAGCTGAGGGAGGAGGATATGCATCTAAGTACAGAGATGAGGGCATGGTTATTCGAACAAAAACATCTGCATTTCAATCAATAAAAGAAGGGAGTGGTCATATGGCAGAAATCAGAAGGGAAATAGAGATGTATATATGTGAATAAAACAATTACATACAGGGCTAATAAAACTACACTTTAGCAATACATTCAAGACATAAATGTAAAAAAATAATGAAAAAAATATATGCAGTGCACAAAGAACATATTAACTACAAGTAAATTTACAGGGTGGTTAAGTTATAATGACGTGATAGTGTGCAGGATAGAGTCTTTGTGTGGTCCTCCAGAAGGCTACCTTTGCTTATTGCAGATGATCAGCAGATGGAGCACTGACTTTCTTGTAGCAGTAATGGGGCTGGAAAGTTTGGAAATCAGACTCATGATCCAAGGCATAAAGCATAATCTGTAAAACACAGTTAAGGCAGTGTCATGGCATTGGCAAGCATGGCTTCCAATGGCACTAGCCCACTAGTGTTTATTGATGATGTGACATATGAATTCTGAATGCATAGGAATATATTGTCTGCTCAGATTCAGCTTAATTCAGAGACGTTGATTGGATGGTGCTTCACTTTACAGATGGATAATGACCCAAGACATGCTGCAAAAGCAACTTAGGAGTTTGTTATGGCAAAGAAGTGGAATATTTTGCAATGGCTGAGCCAATCACCTGATCTCAACCTGATCGAGCATGTTTTTCACTTGCTTAGGACAAAACTTAAGGCAGAAAGAACCACGAACAAACAATAACTGATGACAGCTGCAGTAAAGGCCTGGCAAATCAGCACATAGCAGGAAACCTAGTGTTTGGTGATGTCCTTGCGGTTCAGACTTCGAACAGTCATTGTCTGCAAAGAATTTTCGACAACGTATTAAAAATTAACATTTTGTTTATGATTGTGTTAATTTGTTCAATTACATTTGAGCCCTTGAAATAAAGGGAATATGCATGAAAATGTTTGCAATTCATAAATGTTTCATACATTATTTTTGTTCCATCCTTGAATTAAAGGATCACTCTAGGGATCACTGTAAGCCATAATTATCTCACTTATGACAAATCACAGCTTGATCTATCTTGCTTTGCATGTAATGCGTCTATCTCATATATTAGCTTCCCCTTTTACATTGCATTACTGAAATAAATGAACTTTTGCGCGATATTCAAATTTTTCGAGTATCACCTGTAGATCATTACACTATTTACATCAGACCTCCCTGAACTCCACTTATGGATGTTATTGCAATGTACAGGTTAAGAAAAATGCACTGTTCAGTTACTTATCCAAAGAATAGAATTACCCTAATTCATTATCAGGGCTGTATTTGCCACGAGGCAAACAAGGCATTTGCCTAGGGTGGCACTTTCAGGGGGGTGGCAAAAACCGCAGCCCTAAGTGCCCAGGCGTTGTTTGCCTCACGACCCGGGGGGGGGTAAGAGGTGGCCTGCTGGCTCAACGTGTAGATGGGCAGCAAAAGAGTGCAGTCCTCGGAGCTCTTCCTGCTTCCTCGCACGCCCTACTATGATGCCGGGAGCTGGAATATGATGCCACTCTGGCTTCAGTGGTGCGTGAGGGAGCCCATCGAACCACCTACCTAGTCGAGCCTGCAGAAGCCAGCAGACCAGCAAGGAGACCAGCTATCCCAGCAGTATTCAGGGGCAAGATCCAAAGGTAGGGAGGCTAGGTGGATTTAAATGTAAAAAAATAATAATAATAATTGTTGAGTGTATGAGAAAGTGTGTGTGTGTGTGTGTGTGTGTCTGGCAGTGAATGTGTGTATCTGTCAGTGTGTGTGTCTGTCAGTGAGTATGTCTGTGTCTGTCAGTAAGTGTGTCTGTGCCTGCCAGTTAGTGTGTCTGTTTCTGTCAGTGAGTATGTCTGTGCCTGTCACTGAGTGTGTCTCTCTATCAGTGAGTGTGTCTTTCTGTCTGTGAGTATGTCTGTGTCTGTCAGTTAGTGTGTCTGTCAATTAGTGTGTCTGTGTCGGTCAGTGAGTATGTTTGTGCATGTCACTGAGTCTGTCTGTCAGTGAGTGTGTGTATGTCAGTGTGTGTCTGTGTCTGTCAATGAGGTATGTCTGTGTCTTTCAGTGAGTATATCTGTGTCTGTCAGTTGTGTGTCTGTCAGTGAGTATGTCTGTCACTGTGTCTGTCTGTCTGTCTGTCAGGGAGTGTGTGTGTGTGTGTGTATGTGTGTCTGTCAGTAAGTGGGTATATGTCTGTCAGTGTGTGTGTAGCTGTCAGTGTGTGTCTGTTAGTGAGTGAATGTGTGTGTTGTTCAAAGTGTGTGTAATCAGTGAGGATCGTTGTGTCAGTGTGTGTCTTTTAATGAGTGTATATCGGTGTTAATGTATCTGAGAGTGTGTGCCTGTCAGTGAGTGGGTGTGTCAGTGTGTGTGTGTGTGTCTGTCAGTGAAAGTGGTGGTTTAAACAGTGTGTATGTGCCAATGACTGTGTATATGTCAGTGAGTGTATGTCAGTGCATGTGTCAATGAGGGCGTGCGTCTGTCAGTCAAAAAAGTGGCCTTGACAAGAATCGTGGTGCAAATTTAGATTAGCTGGGTTCCTGAAATTAGTCGTGCCTAGGGCAGCACAAATCCAAGATACACCACTGTTCCTTGTACCTTCTTCCTTAGTCCTCATTTTGAAAAGCCACTCACCAGTTATATCTCCTGTTTCCTTACCCTGCCTTTCTCTTATTCATATTGAGGAAGAAGGATTACCTAATTCATATCGTACTTGAATGTGATATAGCTTTCCAAGTTTCCCTGTGTAATGTAACAATTCACAGGGAAAAAGATTAAAATGGCGAGCTGGTACGTTAGAGAGGATCATGGAATCATCGTCATGATGGCAGTGTTCATTTGTGCTGCAAAATAAAGTAAGTATTTCTATGTGTTTACCTGCCTTTTTTTGTCCATTTCACCTCAGCAAACAGCACAGTACAGTATTTAAAGTAAATTATGGGGGGAAAAAAAGGAAAAAATCTTCTTAAAGGATCTTTGAAGTCACACTGGCACTATATCTCAAATAAGTGATCTGGGTGTAACAGTCATGCCAATTAACCATTGATGGTGCAGAAACGGCAAAGTTTACCTTGATGGGTTAAACACACCCCCAGTGTCTGTTAGATGGAGAGGCACTAGAGGCACCTCTGTTGCACTGACCAAGTAAAACTTGGTCACATGGCACAGAAGCCCCACAGAAAAGCATTGATTCAAGCAGCCGCCTTGTTAGCCACTCTTCAGCCCTCAATTGGACAACACCAAAATAGGCCCCTGCCATGCTGCATCCCCACCAGCAAGGTATCTGCTCCTGTAGAAGGTGGTGCTCTGTGCACCACCTGGTCACCTGGATTGGACCATCCCCCACTTAGCACACTACTAGTGTCAACCCCTCTTCTTTCATAGAGTGTGTATCAGATTTATAGAGCTCCAGCACATTCCGCAGCGCTGTACAATTAGGATAGAAAAAATATACAAAAACCATACAATATACAAAGACCAATACAAAAGGAAAAAGAAGGCCCTGCTCGTGAGTTATATCTAGAGATATAGCCATTAAAGCTCTGTTTTACAAAGTGCTTAGTTAGATAGCCCATGAGCTTACAATCGAAGGTTCCTAGGTTTAAGTAAGCCTTGTGTGTGAGGCAGAAAGGTTTCACATTTAGATATACGGGGGAAATTAAAGGAGATGGGTCAGGTGAGACCTTGGCTACAATATCTCCAGGGTGGCAAATTTCTGGGAAAGTATATTTAGCTTCAGGTGTAAGAACTCAACGCTGTCAACTGAATAGAAATTGCCTGCACTGTTTCTATTGATTTTTATGGGTCTGGTTTCTTGTGGACACAATGAGGTTATTAAATGAGGACTGTGAGCAAAACACCTGCAATACTCTTTTATGGAGTCTAAGGCAACTAAGTTAATCCTTACATTCTGTTATTTGTGCATCATTTAGTGTTAAATTCCTGTTATCGCCTATTACTGTGGATGTCACAGATTAAATCAATCCAATGTAATGTTTAATATACTGTACGCCCTCTGATACCTATTTTTTACATGTGACACAAAATAACATAACTTGATGCATTTCAACATGTGAATGGATCAATACTGTTTGCTTTGCTCCTTTCTTTTCTGTTTGAACCCCACCCATAGAATTTCTATTTTTTAGGCATGATCAAGTAGGGGTCTGTGACATCACATATGCTCACTAATTATCCTATTATGCATAGTTAATTAAACAATTACATTTGGTGTCAATTTTTCTCTATGCCCAACCAAAATGTTCTGATAATCCCTAATCTAAAAGGGTTACTCCAACCACCATGGACACTTGCATTAAGAAGTGGTCATGGTGGGAGGAGTCTGTATATGTAGCATTTCAACTTGAAATGTTGCACATGCAGTATTATTTTTCGTATTGTTCTAGGAACTAGTTAAACCCACACACATGACTTAGGTAGGCCGGAACTCTGTTCTGTGTTGCCTAATGTTAATCCTGTGCAACAATTAGTCTGTTGTTACTGGTGACAGGTGTAACAAGCTTGCAAGAGAAAGCTGGCCTCTCCCTTTCATTTAATCTCTCCTGCTTCCCTTCTTTTGCTTTTTCTCCCCTCTCCACCTGTTCTATTAGAAGCATTTGATTGGACCGTGCAAGGCCCTTGGTGACATCATAAAAGATGTGGAAAGCAGTGCTGGGAGCCAAATGAAGATTTAATAATTTAGCCATAGTTCTAATGTTTTAACTAGATATTGTGTGTCTTAATCCAAATTCTGATTCTATATTCTTAATGACGTTTATTAATGAATTTCAACTTTAATCACTTTTAGCTTAACATATAATATTTTTGTGCCCACTTCTTTTTAACAGTAAGCTCATTACACCTGGCTGTATTATCATAATAAATCATAAGAACTCAATAATATGCATCAACATCAGAGGAAGATGGGGAAGGGGGAGAGTAATAGAATATGTAAGGTCACAGTGCTCAAAATAAAAGGTTTAGAATATCTTAATAATATAGTTAATTTTTTGGAATGGTATTGCTATGAACTTTAAAATAATGAGGTAGAAGAACACACTGTCCCCTGTCCTGTCAATAAATGTAATTTAATCACATGACAGGAGGATTCAAATTTAGCATAATCTTCCTTTACTACTCCATAGCAGAAAAGACATATAGAGAAAAAAAGGAACCAATCAGAGATAGGAAGAGAGTATAACATACGCCTTCCATTGAGTTACTTCCTCTTTCTTTGCTGCTCCATCACAAGTCAGGTCAGAATATTGTGTGTGTACACTATGTTGGCTTGGCTCGTTATATTTACTTAATTTTACGTATTTACTTGATTGATTTCTTTCTTTTCTTCCTGTATATGTATTTATGTAGGGTTATATCTGATAGTGGGGACGCTGGTCAGGGTGAGCCCCTGATTTATAAATGTACCCTAGCTTATGCTAGCTGCTACTTTTACTGGAATATTTCTATACTAATATTACTGGGGGTCAGCCCCTCATCATATTGTTACATACCCTGGTACCTTTCCTTGCCAAAATATTGGCTATTTGATCTGTCTGTCTCTGTTACAGCTCCTATGATTGGCCTGTCTGTGCCACCGTACCTCCCTACGGGATATACTCCTGGAGGTTTTATTATTACTGGGTGAGCCAAGTTATTACATATATATATTGGAATCAGTGCAGAAATTGGCTTCTGTTCACCTTTGCCTGCTACAGGTACCTGTCAAGGTTAGTATTAACCTAGGGGTGGTTCAGCCGGTCAGGTTTATACCTAGTAACCCGGCTCGGGCTGAGCCCCCATACACCGCTGCCGAGTGGAGCTGTGCATGCAGTCCCCTGTTACCT